CTCATCTGCAGCGTGTAGAAAATACCATTAGGGCGAAAGTAGCAGAGTACGAATCCGTGTTTGGCGTCTGCGTTCACATCAGACCCAAACCAAGCGTCTAGATGCTTCGCGCCTCACGCTTTCCCTCTGATTTTCCGGCCGCTCGAGTTCAGTGAAGAAATTCACCATCACTTGGAACAAATCGGCCGAATACGAATAATTTTGTGAACCTAGCTCGGGTAGCAGACCGAGTTCAGACCTCTCGATGCGACAGACGAACGCTCCAGATGCTTTTGGATCGGTTTCTGTGCGTACCAGCTTTGTAGCTCTCCTACAGCCCGAGTTCAATACAGAAAATGGACAACATCTGTCAAGATGACTCGAAGAATACGAATAGTTTGCGGACCTAGCCTGAGTAGCACACCCAGGCTAAGACGTTTCGATGCGACAAACGAACGAGCATGATGATTCCGAAACAGTTTCTGTGCGCATCAGCTCTGTAGCTCTCCTACAGCCCGAGTTACGTGCGAAAACCGACAGCACCTCTCAAGATGACTCGAACGATACGAATAGTTTCGCGGACCTAGCTCGAGTAGCAGAACGAGTTCAGACCTCTGGATGCAACAGACGAGCGCGCCTGATAATTCTGCATGCGTTTCTGTGCGCAGCAGCCCTGTAGCTCCCCTAGAGCTCGCGTTAAGTACAGAAAACCGACAGTTCCTGTCGAGATGACTCGAGCGATACGAATAGTTTTGCGGGCCTAGCTCGAGTAGCAGACCGAGTTCAGACCTCTGCATGCGACAGGCGAACGCGCCCGATGTCTCCGATTCGATTTCTGTGATTACCAGCCCTGTAGCCCCCCTACAGCCCGAGTTAAATACAGAAAACTGACCGCACCTCTCAAGATGACTCGAACAATACCCATAGTTTTGCGGATCTAGCTCGAGCAGCAGACCGATTTCAGACCTCTAGATTCAACAGACAAACGCGCCTGATTATTCTGAGTCGGTTTCTGGAAGCATTAGCTCTGTAGCTCTCCTATAACTCGAGTTATGTTCAGAAAACCGTCACCGCGTGTTAAGATGACCCGAAACGGCCGATCCCGCCTGTGCTTTTTGGCAGTAAAAGGTACCCAATCGAGCTGAGACTAAGATGGCGAGCGGGAATAAGATCGAATATGATGAGAAAAATACTAGAGCTGAAACGAATTGAGGACTTTCGAGAACAAAATTTTCAACCGAGCAAAAGTCAGCAAAAGGTCCGTCGAGATTTTTCTTGCCAACTAGCTCTCCAGCGCCCCGGAATTACTCTTCAGCTTCCAGCAACTAGCTAAGGGAAGCTCTACGAGTTACTCAGACCCGTGCAAAATCGTTCCTCCTCAGAGTGATGGGGCCCAGCGGTGTTACACCATCCCTGGGCGTGTGGCTGAAATAGGGCTCCGCGGCGTCGGTTCTGCTTGTTGTAGCTGTTGAGTTCTCACTTCTACTAGAAAGCATGCGTTGCTGATCCCCCTCCGGTGCACTTTCTATGTTTCAGTTGAGGTGCCTCTCCTGGAGCTCGCACCCAGTTGTCCACAAGGGGCTATCTTGAAGGTCAGACTGCGCCCCTGGCCCCCAACCTACAACAGCAACTGCACTCTGTGGATACATCCTGACACGACATTGAACATCGCGTTCTCGGGCGGGCATTCCTAACAGTTTATCCAGGGGACGCGCAACCGCGTTGGCCTTCCTCCCAATGGTTTGACACGCCGCGCCCTGAACACTGAGGAACCATGCTCTCACGCTGGACGCCCCCTCACGATTTGCGTTGGAATCGTGCTGTCGCTTGAGACTTCCGCGCGATTCCTGCGAAGCTGACGCTCCAGCGACGCGCCCGCTCAACCCGGCCTTCGGGTCCCGCCCCTCCGACCCGGAGGAGAAGGAGGAGGAGGAGGAGGAGGAGGAGAAGGGGAAGGAGGAGGAGGAGGAGGAGGAGGAGGAGGCCCGTCCGACACGCCCGTCCGACCCGCCCGTTAAGAGTCCGCCCGCCCGACCAGCACGCCGGGTTCTGTCGCGTTGTTCCCCTGCTCCTAGCCCCCGGCCTGCCAATCTCTGCCGTGCTCCATCCTTCCCCATCCCCCTTGTCCGGGGCGCGCAAACATTGCTTAGCGATCCATGGATTTGGCGCGCGGTCGCCAAATCCATGGATCGGGGGAAGTGCCCTCCCCAAAATGCAGCCAATGTCGCCCCGTGCGGCGGCGGAAATCCGCGATTCCCCATGGAAACGGGACCCGTCGCTAATCCACGCCCCCTTGATCCATGTTTGCGATCGCCTGACCTTGTCCCTTCTCTCATCCCTCCCCCTGTTGTGGGAGCTGCGCCAATCAATCATGGCGGGTGAGGAAGATATGCCCCCAAGAGGGGGCCTGATAGAAGACCCAGAAGGCGGGTTCCGAGGGTGTGGGAGATACATGCTGGATGACACACGACCAGGCGAGAGCTTCCCAGACTGCCGACGAACCCGCCGCCCTTCGCAGTTGCGTGGTGCTGCGGTACTCAAGCTCGCCCATGAAAGCCACGATGCAACAAACATAGCACAGCACAGCCCCACGGTCCAGGGCGATGTAACAGGCACAGCATGTGGGTACTCCAATGGGGAGCCGTCAGGGGATATCTCAGGGGCCCGTTCGCGCCCAGATTATGTGAATGTCTCGAGCGAGGCGCCCCTTTGGTGTCACCGTCATGTCTTCCTTCACCGCTCATGCTCATGATCACCGCGATAAAGGACGTACCACTTGGGCGCCACCATGCGGATCCGCCACTTGGTATCTCACGGGCCTGTTCGCGCCCAGATTGTGGATGACGAGCCCGTTTGGCGTCGCCAAATCTCTCCTTTCGGATGCCTCACCATGACTGCAAACAAGCAAGCATAGCATTTGACGACCCCCCGGGTGAGCCGACAAGGGGTATCTCAAGGCGCCCGTTCAGCGACACCGATCCCTGTTCTTCCAGAGCCTCAGGAACACCGCGATCTAGAAGTCAGAGCACTTGGGCACCCCGAAGGGGGGATCCGCAATATTCTGCCTTACGGGCCCGTTCGCGCCCAGATTGCTGGGATGTCTGGAGCGATGCGCCCTCACAACAGAAAGTGCAAGGAACTGGGACGTCCGCATGGATGGGATATGCTTTCCATCCGGGGCTCTTATTCTGAGTGTGACACGCATGAGGTTCTTGCTATGAGTATGACAGATCTGACAGCTACGATGTAGGATGTATGGCGTTCCAGCACCCTAGTCGCACAGATATTGCGGGGATGCCTCGAGCGAGGCGCTCGTTCAGTTCCCCTGTCTCTTCTCCTTTCAGAACCCCCATGATCACCGCGATGTAGCAGGCAGGCCAATTGACCACGCTGCTGGTGAGCCGCCAGGGGGGAGTACACTCGACTCTTCGCCCCGACATTGGGGACGTCTTCAGCGAGGCGCTCGTTGGGTGCCCCCGCCTCCTTTCCCTTCGGGGCCGTCGGAGCACTACCAGGCAACAGGCATAGCACCTGAGCGCCCCAAGTGGGGAGCCGCCGAGGGGCGTTGCGCTTGCCCGTGTGCGGCTAGCGTCGCCTCGAGCGAAACTGGGGTTTCGGCACCCCCTATCCCTCTCCACTCCCAGACCCCCGACGTCATGATTTTTTCATGACGTCGACCCCAGAGGTCTCGACCCATTCCCCAGGACCGGTCCTTCATCCTGCGTCGTCTGTTCACGTTCCCGAGGCCCGGTGCGGGCCCCCAGGGGCCGAAAATAGCGGAAAACCTCCCGTCGTGATTTGTTCATGACTCGACGGGGTCTGGGCCTGGTGGTGCTCCTCCTCCTCCTCCTCCTCCTCCTCCTCCTCCTCCTCCTCCTCCTCCTCCTCCTCCTCCTCCTCCGAACACTGGCCACTGGCCGAGAGGAGCAGAGGGGGTGAGGAACGCTCACAGCCGGACCTGCACGCGTTGGGAGTCCGACCCGCGCCTGCACGTCGCCCTCGGGTACCCACTCTTTGTCAGCAGCCGCGAGCGAAAGCGCCAACGGCGAGTCGAGTCAGAGCGGGCCGCGCAGAGACGAATTACCTGAAGCGGCACGGGTACTCACCAAAAGGAGCATCCGAAAATGGCACGCGCATGTGTTGAGCAGGGACCGACCGTCCCGTCGTTCCTATAGGCCTACCACGACATTTTCTTGGAACCCCGAAATGTTCCAAGAACAACAGTAATGTTTTTAGAACCCCGAAATGTTCCAAGAACAACCGTAATGTTTTTAGAACCCCGAAATGTTCCAAGAACGTGTCGTGGAAGTCAAACAAGACGGTCCCGGCCAGAACTGTTGTAAGACCATTCCGTGGAAGCCACACGAGGTTCTCAGGACACTGCTTGGTAGGCCCACAAGCCTAGAGGCGAGCCAGGACGCTCCGCCACTGCTTGCATGTGGGGACCCCCGCGTCGAAAACCACTCCTGCAGCTCTTCAACTCGCTAAAGGCTTAACGGCTGCTGCCGTTCTTCGACTCGCGCCGGAGCGACCGCGAAGTGCTCGAACTTTCGCTGGAGATCTCTGGATTTACCTGGATTTACGTGGACGTATCTCGACTTACCTGGATGCACCTGGAGTTACATCTGGCCATCGCTCGGACGTCCATTCCCTGTGCTTTTTTCGGTTGCGTGGGTGGTTTTTCGCCAAATGATCCAGGATGCTCCTCGATGGCCCTCGCCGAGCAAACATGCACACGCCCGAGCGATGCCAGGACATGGGTTTATCTGCATTTACCTGGACTTGTCTGGCTCGATCCTCACAAGTCGATTGGCGAAAAGTCGACAAGCCCTTAGTGAAGGGGCCCCAGGACACACAAATAAATGCACACAAATAAAAATATCCCCCATATTTTCGCATATTTTCTGGGGTTCTGTCTTCCCCCCCAATGCCCATATTTTCCCATATTTTCTGGGGAATCGACGATTCATTGTGTCTGTGTGTTTTTTTCCCCTCCTGACTTAGGGGTCAACGCCCCGATCCTCCGCGGAGTGCTCCCAGAGGTGCAGCCCGCTGCAGGGCAGGCCGGCGAAGGTCTGCAGCAGCCGGTAGCGCGCCGCGTCCCGCGCGAGCGCCGCGGGCCCGGCCGCCGAGGCGTTGCCCCCGGAGACGCCGCAGAGGTCCCACACCTGGGCGCAAGGAGAGGAGGAGGAGGAGGAGGAGGAGGAGGAGGAGGAGGAGGAGGAGGAGGAGGAGGAGGAGGACGAGGAGGAGGAGGAGGAGGAGGAGGAGGAGGAGGAGGAGGAGGAGGAGCACCACCAGGCCCAGACCCCGTCGAGTCGGGAAAGAATCGCGACGGGAGATCATTTCTTGCCAGTTTCGGCCTCTGGGGGCCCTTGCCGGGCCTCGGGGTCGTGAAAAAACGACTCAGGATGAGGGACCGGTCCTGGGGGATGGGTCGAGACCTCTGGGGGTCGACGTCACGAAAAAATCACGATGTTGGGGGTCTGGGGGGCGAGGAGGTGCGCGGAGGCAAGGGGGGCCTCCCTGGTGGTGTGGTCCCCCCTCTCCCTCGAGACATCCCTGGCCTCTCGCTCGGGGGGGCATCGCGGACCTGCTCGCTGGAGGTGGTCCCCCTGGTGGTGTTGGTGTCGCTCCTCCCCCCCCCCGAACACCCTGACGGCATCCATCACGCCGCAGCCCGCCCCGTACCACACGCCCCGCTGCAGGTCCACGCGCACGCTAGGCACCGCCATCTCGAAGAGCGACAGCACGGCCCGGACGTTGCGCGCGACGAGGCCCTGGTCCCGCTCGTTGCGGTAGAGCTCGGGGTCGGCGCCGAGGGAGCCGCCGGGGGCCTCGCGCGAGCGGTTGCTCAGGATCGCCTCCGCGCCCGGCTGCTTCTCGTTGTCGGTCTCCACGAGGTAGCTCATGACCCTGAGGCTTGGCGCCCTGCCGGGGGAAGAGTGAAGCTGCACAGACATTGCACTTCCGAAAGACCAAAGGCCCGCGCGGATTCTCGGGTCTCCAGAGCCGTGTGGTGACGGACCTGACCTCGGAATCACCAACGACCTCACCGCGCGGTCCGTCCCCACACGTTTTCGGGACCTCGGAGGCACCAGTCGCTCGAGCCATCCTCGGAGAACGACCCAACTCCCCCAAATCACGCGGTGACCCCGAATCCCCGCCGAGTCACCACGCGGCGTGGTCACCACACCGTGTGGGCCCCCCCGAGGATTTCTCTGACCTGCGCAAGGCGGCGCCAGAAGCGCGGCGAAGGGGTGTCCAGCGCAGATCCGCGAACTCCGCGCAGAGCTCCGACAGCTTAGGCCCTAGGGTGCAAGCAGCCACCCCCGTGGCGATATCGCTCCAGCACCGCAAACAAAGCAATTAATTACTTGTGACGGCTCCCTCTGGCGATATCGCGAACACATACAACAACACACACAATAAATCATCGTTTCGCTACTCGCCTACGGACAAAAGGCCACCGAGAGGCATACAACCAGAAAGAACGTCGGCCCTGCGAACACGCATGGGGGACCAAGCGGAAATGGACCCTGCGAAAGCCCGCAGACCTCGGACGACCTCGGGGGACCTCCCGAGACCTTCGGGGGAGGCATGGAGAAAGTAAGAGGAGGAGGAAGAGGAGGAGGAAAAGGAAAAGGATAGCAATGATAGTTAGCATGAACGACAGCAGGAGTCGAGAGAAGGAAAATCAAACGAATTGAGTGGACGCCGAATCGAAGCCGACGCCGATGCCCCGCCCTCCACGCGGCTGACCTGCGGCGGCGGCAGCTCCAGGAGCAGCTCCAGGCGGACGAGGCGAGCTCCAGGCGGACGAGGCGAGGAAAAGGAAAAGAGGGCAGAGGAGGAGGAGGAGGAGGAGGAGGAGGAGGAGGACGCTGCGGCGGACCATCACCGCTTCCGCCCCGGCCCCGGTGCCGCAAGCGCTGCACCTTCCGCCGAACAAGACGGACGGGGGGGCTGATTGCTTCCGACAGGGTGAGGCTCGCTCCCGCTTCCCTGCCCGATGCCTGAGGCGCTCGGGGTCCGTGCCGGGGCACGCGGGCGCGCGGCCGTCGCCGCGCCCCTCCCAGGCGCCCGCGTAGGACCAGTCCATGATGTCCCCCGAGACCCAGTAGATGCCCCGGCGCGCCGCCGAGGGGCGTTGCAGGCAGAGGGGGGGTGGGGGGCCCGCGCACGCCGCAGCCCGCGGCACGTCGTGGGCGAGCCGGCGGCGCGCGCGGGGAAGCCATCGGTAGGAGAAGGCCGAATGTGGGATAACGATTAAGAAAAAAAGGGGGGGGGAACGATTGAAAAAATAGTTTCCCACACCGGGGGGGAACGCTCAGAAGCAGGGCTCGCCTGTGCGGTGTTTCGTTACCGGGGGGGGCGCGCGCCCGAGGACGGCGGGGGGGGGGGACGATAAAAAAAAATAGTTTCCCAGCCTGGGGCCGGTTGTTTCTAATCATTATCCCGGGCGCCGCCGCGTGAACACGACCTCCGTGCTTTTGTCATCATCATCCTCCATTACGCAGAAGGCGGCGGGGCTTCTCAGAAGCCCATAGCGCCCTCGGAGAAGTCTCTGCTTGTCTTCGGGGGAGGCTCGGGCAGCTTCTCAGAAGGCCGCGGGGGTCCCGAGCCTTCTGAGAATGCCCCCTCCGTCTCGCCTCCCCCCCCTCGCTCGCCGCCGAGCGAAGCACACATACCCGACTCCGCGGCCCCGCGGTCCGTGCGCCCCGCGCGGAGCGCATCCAGGACGGCGCCCCGGAGTCCAGACCGCGAGGGCGTGCCTATGGATACGGCCGCCGCTCGCGAGCACGCGCGCGGACGAGGGGAGGGGGGAGCCGAGAGAGGAGGGCCCAGCGCCGATCCAAGCAGCCCGCGAGAAGCTCAAGGAAGCGGTGGTTATGCCGAGCACTGTTCCTCCCCTGGTGCGCCCCCGCGATGTCCAGGGAGCCTTCTGACCAGGAGGGAGTTCGGGGCGAACCCTGAGGGAAGGGCAGCGATATGTGCACGTGTGCTCCTCCCCTGCCCCGGCCCGTCCACCCTCGAACAGAGACCCTCCCGGACGGCCCCAGGATGTCGGGAGCTCCTTCTGACCAGGAGTGCGGGGCGACCCCCGCCGTGGCGCCGAGGGGAGGGCAGCGACACGTGTCTGCTCCTCCTCTGATCCGCCCCCCGCCACCCTCAGACCCAAGACCCACCACCCTCAGACCCACCACCCTCAGACCCAAGACCCAAGGGAACAACGCCATAAGCATGAATTGCTGCTTGGATCCGCGCCCCGCGCCTGGGGAGGCGCCGCAAGGGAGGTCCCAGCGCCGCTCCAACAAATCCGCGCGGAGCGCCAAACATTTGTGTTTATGGCTATTTGTCCTCTTCAACTCCTGAGCGCTCTGGGGAGACCAGAAGGTACAGATACCGCTTTTCCCCGGTCCTGGGGTGCGTTCTGACCAGAATTTCGAAGCGAGTCCAGCGGTGGCGACGAGGGCCTCCCAGGCGCCCCCCCCCCCAAAAAAGAAAACTAGGGAGGGGTAGCGGTATAGGTACCTTTTCCCCCTCTGGCCTCGAGCAAACACCCCCCTGGGCGCCCCCGAGATGTCGGTGGAGTGCTCGCTGACCGACCGGTACCACATGACGTCCTGCTCGGGGCCTTGGCGGGCCTCGGCGCTCGCCTCTCGGGTCGGCCCGGGGAAGAAAGGGCAGGGAGCCCACAAAGATGCTACGCGCCCAGCCATGTACATGAGCACGGCCCCTCGATCCGCGAGACTGGCCGCGTGATACGAACATTCGGGCAATGCGTACTCTCGAAACCAGCGTGGATTCATGTACGGGTACGTCCTTCTTTCGCTCCTGGAAGGGGGCGGATCTGCAGAGGGTGCGGGTGGCAACCCGCACCCTGGGGGGCCTCAGAAATTCGGCGTCTCGAAACAAACAAATTTGGTTTCAAACAACATAAAGAGAAACTCTCGGCGATCCGCGCGGACTTCTTGGATCTGCGCTGGACCCCCCTCCCTGGCGCGCGGAGCGTGCCAGGGGCGGCGCCGGAGGCGCCGCCAGGGGGGCCTAGCGCAGATCCAAGCAAGCCGCGCGGAGCTTCGAAAGTTCCTGTTGACAGCGATTATTATTATTCTTCTTCTTCTTCTTATTATTATTTTTTCTCTGTTTCTTCTCTGTTTCTTCTTCTTCTTCGAATGCACTCGTTTTCAGACTCTCGGGACCCCCCTTCAGGCCTCAGGACTGCCAGAAAAACAGCTCGGGATGCAAAAAACGGTCCCCCGGGAAGTGGTCGAAAGGTCGGGGGCCCGTGCCCCGAACAAATCGGCACGTCGGATATCTGGGCCGGGCGAGAACGTCGACAGAGCTCTCCGCCGCGCCCCGACGAGGCCCGACGAGGGCCACGTGGTGGGGGGCGCAGCGCAGATTCATGAAATACGCGCGGAGCTCTGAAAGTTTGTGTTCATGGCTTTTTTTTTTCTTCGAGTATACTCGCGTTTGGCCTCTCGGGGCTCTCCCTGGGCCTTGGGACCGCCTGAAAAACGGCTCAGGATGAAACCAAACGGTCCCCCAGGAAATGGTCGAGAGGTCAGGGGCACGTGCTCCGAACACACCGGGGCGTCGGATGTCTGGGCCGGGCGAGGACGTCGACGGAGCTCTCCGCCGCGCCCCGACGAGGCCCGACGAGGGCCACGTGGTGGGGGGCGCAGCGCAGATTCATGAAATCCGCGCGGAGCTCCGAAAGTTAGTGTTCATGGCTTTTTTTTTTCTTCGAGTATACTCGCGTTTGGCCTCTCGGGGCTCTCCCTGGGCCTTGGGACCGCCTGAAAAACGGCTCAGGATGAAACCAAACGGTCCCCCAGGAAATGGTCGAGAGGTCAGGGGCACGTGCTCCGAACACACCGGGGCGTCGGATGTCTGGGCCGGGCGAGGACGTCGACGGAGCTCTCCGCCGCGCCCCGACGAGGCCCGACGAGGGCCACGTGGTGGGGGGCGCAGCGCAGATTCATGAAATCCGCGCGGAGCTCCGAAAGCTTGTGTTCATGGCGTTTTTTTGTTCTTCGAGTATACTCGCGTTTGGCCTCTCGGAGGACGTCGACGGAGCTCTCCGCCGCGCCCCGACGAGGGCAACGTGGTGCCCCCCATGGCCCCAGCTGGCGCAGCGGAGCATGGCATCAACAGAAGCTTCCGGAGGTCCGAGCTGATTTCCCTGGACCGGCGCTGGGCCACCCTCCCTGGCGCGCGGAGCGCGCCAGGGGCGGCGCTGGAGGCGCCGCCAGCGGGAGCCCCGCGCCGATCCGAGAAGTCCGCGCGGGCCTCCAAAGCTTACAGATGGCTGCGCAACTCTCTGTTCCTCAAAATCGGGCGCTGGCAGAACTGGGCTTCGTGGGACCCGGTTGAGTGATGTGCACCAGGGGCAGGGGGCGCCCCCCCGTCCCATTCCACTGACTGGAACTGCCGTAACCCGAAAAGCATCAGCTACGGCAAACCTGGTCCAGCGACTCCAATCCTTATTTGGGGCTTCCTGCAGGGGCCAATCACTACCCGGCTCCCCTGAACCGGGCTCCTGGCGATAACCCGACAGGAGCCCCGACGACGCAGCTCGCAAAGCACCCATCCCGTCGTGACCACGCCCTTTTTGCATCCGCCGAGCCTCCTCTCCCTCGGGGCAGCGGCGCAGCTCCTCGAACATGTGCACCTGCTGCCCGTCGCCGAAGCTGACCATCGCGTTCATGCCGGGGCAGGCGCTCTGCTCGACCCTCCCGCACGGCCCGGCCGGCCCGGCCTGGCGGGCCTTGCAGGTTGCACACGGTGGGTGGCGAGAGACCCCAAACATCTGGGCGTGGCGATATCTCGTCACACCGGGCGCTCTCGCAAGGCTTCGGGCCCCCAGGACCATCACCGGTCGATCCGGCTCGAAAACATATACAGCAGAGAGATGGGGTCCAGGGCTACAGACGTGGCTTTCGCGGGTCTGCATGGTTTTTTGGCAACGTCGGATCTCAGGAAGCGGTGGCGTGAATAACAGTGCGCCTCTGGTGCACATGTTGGGCCCCAGGGGGCCCCTTCAGGGCCCAGGTGCACCAGAGGTGCTCCATTCTTCACCCCTCCATTGATCGCCCCCCCCCACTAAGCAACGCCCGAGGGCCAGCTGCACACGGTCGCCGGCGCTCATGCAGGCGTGCTCCACGTAGCCGCCCGCGGCGAGCTGCATGCGCCTGGCGACCTCAGGAGGAAAAGAAGACATCCACGGACAGAAGCTTTCGGAGCTCCGCGCGGATGTTCTCGGATCGGCACTGCACCCCCCTCCAGCGCAACAGGGAGCGCGGCGCCGGAGGCTCCCGCCGCCAGGGGGCCCCCGAGCCGATCCGAAAGAGATCCTGGGGAAGCCTCGCAGCTGTGCGAGTGTGCAGCTCCTCTTCTTGAAGGCCTGTCGCAGGGCCACCCAGTCGGGCGCGTGCGCCCCGACGCCGGTCCCCGAGTCACCCGCCGTCTCGACCTGGCCCGCGTGCAGCGAGGCCTCTGCTGTGCCCGCGCCGTCCGCCGAAGCAGCGTCCTCGCCGAGCAGCTGCGCGACGAGCTGATCCCTGCCCGCCGGCGCCTCGTCGCCGGGCTTGCCGCTGGAGGAGGAAAGGCCAGCACAGACATCAACGTTCGATGCTGGGCAGAGCTTCCATCACCACCAGCACACGCAGGACACCTGGGAGAAAGGAAGAATGAGGCGGCCCTCCTCCTCCTCCTCCTCCTCCTTTCCCTTTTCCTCCTCCTCCTCCTCCTCCTCCTCCTCCTCCTCCTCCTCCTCCTCCTCCTCCTCCTCCCCCCACCCCTGGTACTGGCGGCGGAAGCAATGCCTATCATCCGAAATTGCGCACGCGGATTCCTTGGATCGGCACCGGGCGCCCCTGGCGGCGCGCGCCCGCCCGCCGCGCCCGACGCGCTCAAGGGCTGTGAGGCTCCGGCGCCGACCCCAAAAGTCCGCGCGGGGCTCTCCGGAGGTTGCTGTCTGCGCACGTGACTCTCTTCCTCGACGCTGGGGTGGGCTTCCTGGCGAGTGCCGTCGTAGGCAGGGCGCTGGGCCTGCGTGCCGTTGGGGTGCAGCAGGAGGTGGTTCGGGCCCCCAAACGGGTAGACCATCGCCCGCGTCCCAGCGTGGAAGTTGACGAGGTTGTGGAAGAGGTGGGAGCTGAGGAGCGCGTGCAGCGTGCGCGTCGTGAACGTCTGCAGGCACGTGAGCCCGGATTTGGTCCTGTTCTGCGGCGTCGTATGGGAGACTCCCATACCATCTTGCTGGCTCTTGCGAATCAGCACTAGTCGACGCTCGCCGACACTAATTGACGCTAAATCGACACGAATCGACGCTATGTCGATGCGAGTCGACGACAGATCGGCCCTTGCCCACTGATTGCCAGACGCTGGCGCACGCGAGTGCCTGCGAAAGTCTACATCCCGAGGACATGCCAGGCTCCCCTAGAGCCGCTGCCGAGGTCCTGTGCGTGTTCCCGTACGGCGCGTCGCGGTTCGGGTCGACGGCGAGCTCCTCCCGGGTGTCGTGGAAGTAGCCGTGCGGGTTCGCAAAGGGCAGGAGCCATGCCGACCTCCATCGCGCGAGGTAGGCCAGCTCACGCTCCTCGAGGGGTGCGCAGCGCGAGTCCAAGACGCCCCCCGGCCCTCTGGGCGTGAGCTGTCCAAGGAGCTCGGTCTGCTGACCGCGTTGTTCCCCTTCGGGGAGGGGGGTCCCCGTCCCAATCCCCCTCCCCCTGGGTCTGCCCCTATGGTCTCCTAGAGGGCCCCAGAGAGCTCGAGATGGCCTCCTAGATCGCTCAAGATATCCCAAAATGGTCACGGAAGTAGTGATAGTCTCCTGCACGCCTCCGGGAGCCCTCAAGATCGCCACAGGACGGCCCAAAGTGCCCTCCGAGCCTTTCGAGGAGGCATCCCACAGGCAAGCATCTGAGAAGATCAGTCAAAATCGATGTGCTGCTCAATGTGTTTGGCTTTCTCGCCTGATCGCTTCGGATGGGCTCTTGAGGCCTCAAGATGGCTCCAAGATGGCCCAAGAGGGCCCCAGGATGGCCCCACTGGCGCCCAAGAGGGCCCAAAGAGCGGCCCAAGACGGCCCCTTGAGTACCCCACATGCTTTGGCCGATGGCTTCCTAATAGGCCCCAAGGGAGTTGCCAAAGCCTCGAAGAGGGACCCAAGAGAGCCCTATGAAGGCCGCAGAGACCTCCGAAAGGGCCTCTAGAGGGCCCTAAGATGCCTCTGGGACGCTCATAGAGCCAAACACCTGCTGAAGGCCTTGATGGTTGACTTCGTTGTTGTTGTCGTCGTCGTCGGTGGCGCCGGCGGCGGGGTCGTCGTCGTCCTCGACGTCAGCGTCGGCGTCGGCATCGGCGTCGGCGTCGTCGGCGCCCCAAGAGCAGCCCAAGAGGGACCAAAGAAATCGGTCGCAGACCGGGGGGGGCACTACTTCAGTACCCCCCATCCTTTGACCAATGGCTTCCAAGATGGCCCCAAAGACTCCAAGAGGGACCCAAGAGAGCCCCAGGGGGGCCCCGGAAGCCTCCAAGAGGGACCCTAGAAAGATCTGCTGAAGGCCTTGAAAATGAATTCCCGTCGTTGTCGTCGTCGTCATCGCCGTGGTGGTGGTAATCGTCCGCATGGCAAGCAAAAACAGGCAATCACTCTGCCATGGTGGCCCAGGGTGGGAGCTGGTGAGCGAAAGTCCCGCCTGAGACTGACACGTTCCTCCTCCTAGGCCAGGGGCCTTTCGAAGAGATTGTCCCTCTAACCCCGCCCACTGGGGGGCTGTAGTGCCAGGTGGCGAGGGTTCAGACACAAAAGCGTGAGAACTGTTAATCACAGACGTTTCGGACGCGGGGGGAGATTTCACACAGAAGTGTTGGCGACGGCGGTGACCACGATCAGGCCTGGCAATCCTCGCCCAGGGCGCTGCTGCGTGACGCACCGTTGTTCTGCACACACACACACACCCACACCCACGCACGCACGCACGCACGCACACACACACACACACACACACACACACACACACACACACACACACACACACACACACACACACACACACACACACACACACACACACACACACACGCAACCCGTGGCGCGATGGCACGGACAACCTGGGCTGCACACGCAGGTCAGACGCGAGGCGTTCGCGCAAAACGTGGCCCGATGCGCCGAGCCAGCACGCCACGCATCGGCACGGACGCCTCAAGCACGGCGCGTGCTGCGTTTCACAACGGGCGCCCTGGCGTTGGAGCAACGGGTCCTGCGGGAAACGGATGCTAGACCCTGGGGCCTTCCGTCAGGACCCACTCTTCATGCGAGCGTTTTTTTTATTAGCGTTTCGGCATTGAGCGGAAGGGGGGGGGGAGGGGATGGGGGGGGGTCTGGCTCCAGACATCTGCTTAGTGCGACTGTTTGCAAGAGTGCTGCCTCTCGGGGAGACCCCACCCGCTCGAAACAGGCGCCAAAAAACAGCCAAGATCTACTCCATGGGGGGTGGGGGAGGGGAAGGGGGGGGGTCCTGCGCCGATCGGCAGCGCAATGAATAAAAAGACGATCACCATCCCGGGCCGCTTTCTTGACGTTTCCTGGACCCGTGGGGGGGCCCCGAGAGCTGGGGGCAGCCCACAAAAGAGACGTACGCGCCCGGCGACGTGCGCGAACACGGCCCCTCCAAATCATCCGCGAGGCCAGCCGCGTGCTACGAGCACCCGCGCCCTGCCCACCTGTCGAAGCCCACGCGGAGTCGTGTACACTCTGTCTGTTCTGTTCTGCATCCGAGCCGCACGGATACTGAAGTAGGGGAACGAAGAATGACATAAACATAAAAACTCGGAAGTCCGCGGGGATTTCTCGGATCCGCGCTGGACCCCCCTGGTGGCGCCTCCGGCGCCGCCCCTGGCGTGCTCCGTGCGCCAGGCAGGGGGGTCTTGCGCGGATCCGAAAAATCCGCGCGGACCTCCGAGTTTGTATGATCATGTCATTCTTCGTTCCCCTATGAAGAGCGCACCGTGCAGGCCGTCGTACCGTTGCCGGCCGAGCTCGATCGGCGGTGCGACATCCAGGCAAGGAGGCTCGGAGGGAGCGGCCTATGCCGAGTCAGACTGGGCAAGTGCACCGAGCTGTGCTAGACGATCCAGAGGCGGTGATGGAAGCAAGAAAGTGAAGGAAAAACAATGGGTGAACACACTCGGATGTGATATGGTTTGACGATTACTTGCCTCGCCCCTCCGGAAAATAACGGAAAAGCTCTTCGTCGCTCTCTGTGTTCGCAATCAGGGCGAGCACGTGGCCGTGGCAGCTCAATGGCACGCAGAAGCACCCCAGCGTCTTGCCCTGCAGCTCCCGCCTCGCCTCCGTCCTGAGATCGGCCCTCTCGGCAGCCATGATCCAATTTCTGTACTGCCGGATCACTGATCCGCGGCTGGCTCCGCCGCCCATCGAAAACGGATTGCCCCAGCCCCATCTCGGATGGCCCGAAGTCGGCTTCCCGCCTCGACCCTTCGGGTTCGCGTCAGGACGGCCAACGAACACCTTGCACTTGTTGTTGTGCACGTTTGTCACCAAGTCTTTGATGTGCTGTGGGATAACCAAGTCGCTATCGTCCTTCACTGGGCCCTCGGCCTCCGCAGCGACTGCGAGCTCGTCTTCAGCGGTGCTGTCGGTAGCTTGGTCTGGTGGGGCCAGCAGGACCTCGGCCAACTCGAGGAAGCGCTCTACGAGCTGCGCGCAGCACTCCATCTCGGCGGCGACGCCATCGCATGCCATGCGCTCCAACTCGCTCTTCGCTGCTGCCACCGCGGTTGCGCTGCCACCCGGACATGAGAGCAGGAGGTGCGGATGCACGAGAGGGTAGCGAGCTGGCAATGAGACTCGCAGGAATGCGCCATCCGCAAGCACTTGAAAGGCTACAGCACCCTCAATGTCCTCCTCCACGAAATGATCCGGGTACATGGCGTTCAGGGCGATTAGCTCGTCCCTCTGCCGCTCGAAGCAGTCCTGTATGGTGTCAGATGCCATCTCGTTTCGAGGATGTGCTGATCTGGAGACATTCACGCAGACCTTGAGCCAAAATGGCTACGGACTACGCGAATTCATGTACATGTACTTCCTGCCCCGTCTTGGAGAAGCTGGTAAGAAAGGTTCCGTGATCAAATTCAGGACCAATTTCCCTCAGGACCCCTTCCGCTTAGTTGACCAACGACACGTGCATAATTACTCATATGCGTTCGGAGGTCCGCATGAATTTCTTGGGTCGGCGCCACGCCAACCTCCTCCTCCTCCCCTATCATCCTCCTCCTCCTCCTCCTCCTCCTCTTCCCCCTCCTCCTCCTCCTCCTCCTCCTCGTCCTCCTCCTCCTCCTCCTCCTCCTCCTCCTCCTCCTCCTCCTCCTCCCCCTCTCCCTCCACGCTCGCCAATGTCCGCTTTCCCTCCATCCACGCCAAAATCCTGTTGCCAGACCCGCGGCTCCCTCCCACCTGCCTCACGATGCCCTCCTCCCTCTCAGCTGCATCTGGTTGGGTCCTTCGCGAAGGCGCCAAGATACTTTGTCTCATGACGTCGGCCCCCAGAGGTCTAGATCCATTCCCTGGGACCAGTGTTCGGGGCCCAGTAAAGGGCCCAGAGGCTGAACGTAGCGAACAACCTTCCGTCGTGTCATGTCATGGCTCGAAAACTGGGAAAACCACAGGGTACCGATACCCCGCTACTCCCCAGACCTCTCCCGGGGTGCGTTCTGCCTGGGGCCTCGAGGCGAAGCCGGCGGTGGCGACGAGGGCCTGCCGGGAGGCCCACGAGGCAAGGGAACACGAGGGAAGGGTGGCAGCATCCGCGCCTTTTCCTCGTCGTGCTGCCCTCGCCCATGGACCAACCACTGGCCATCGCTCGGACGTCCATTCCCTGTGTTTTTTTCGGTTTCGTGCGTGTTTTTTTTTGTTTTGCCAAATGATCGAGGATGCTCCTCGATGGTCCTCGCCGAGGAAACAACGCACACGTCCGAGCGATGCCGAGACCAACAGCGCCCCCCGAGCTCCACGAGGGCCGAGGCCGCCGGCCGGGCGCCCTGCGGCGCGGCCCCGGCGCCCGCGCCGCCGAGCAGCCTCTCGCGGAGCAGCGCCACGCTGCTGGGCTCCGCGCCCGCGAAGGCGAGCAGCCGGGCGGCCTCCGCGAGGACCTCGGGGGGAGAACGAGTGGGCCACAGGCAGTCTCCTCCTCCTCCTCCTCCTCCTCCTCCTCCTCCTCCTCGACCCGCGGGGCAAGGGCGGGCCGCCTTCCAAAGGGTACCCTCTGCATCCTCGCCTCCTCGGTCCATGCCTGGCCGCTCTTTTGTTGGCCGCGCCCCGCCCGGGAAGCTCCGAGCTGGTCTTCCAAGGCCCATGCACCCTTGTCGCGCGTCCTTATGAGACGGGTTGACTGTGAGAGCACACTAGTAGAGTCAACCCGTGCAAGAAGGACGCGCGGCAAGGATGCAAGGGCCTTAGAATGCCATGTCGACACTTTGCGAGCGGGGCGCGGCCAGCGAAAGCGGCCAAGGAGGGGCCGGAGAGGAAGGATGCAAGGGTAACCTCGGGACGTTGCGCATCCTTACCATGCGGGTTGACTGTATGTAGCCCTCCGCAATTTCGGATAAGAGTGAGGGGGCGGCCGGGTCATCGCTGGTCTGCGAGGCTCTGAAGAAGCCCGCCGCAGGCGCCGCCTTCTTCGCACATTGCGCAACGAGCCCGCCGCAGGCGCCGCCTTCTTCGCACATTGCGCAACGAGCCCGCCGCAGGCGCCGAATTCTCGGCCAACCAATGTAGGTGGGTCGCTGGTGGGTCGCGGGAGGGTCGCGGGGTGGGTCACAGGATGGGTCGCGGGCGGGTCGCGGACGAGGACGACGACAACAACAACCACAACGAAACAACAATCATTTTAAGACTGCTCGCTCTTATCTGCTCGCGTGCCGTGCGCGCTTAAGTTCTAGCGAGCTTCTTGTGGTCTCCTCTGAGCACCCTGGACTGCTTCTTGAAGTCGTCATGGGACCTCCTCGGCATGTCTTCGGGGGCCTCTTAGAAAGAGTTGTGAAGCCTTTTTGGTGCCGTCTTGGGGCCTCTTGGAGCCTCTTTGGGGCTTCTTGGGGGCCTCTTGGGGCCTCTTGGGGGCCACGGGCTGATCGGGCGGGTAAACCCTAACGGGCGGGTCTGGAAGGCGGGCCCAGGCGGCCAGGTCGGGCAAGCGGGTTGCTGAAGCGTGAGTCCTGTACGAATCGCAAGGAGGTCTCGAGCGACAGCGCGATTCCCAAGTAAATCATGAGAAAAGCCACACAAAGCGAGAGCGCAGTTCATGAGCGTCGAGGGCGCGGCGTTTCAATAAATTGGGAGAAGTCCCACACAAGAGAACGATTCCTGCAAAGGAATACCCGCTTGAGAGCGAGATGTTGAAAAAACGATGTGAGGAAGAAACTGGCGAGAGCCGTTGTTTTTGTAAGCCGAGGGCCAGGGGCACAATCTGAGGAGGAAGACTTCCCCTAGTTGAGAAACAGTGTGCGAACCCCGGGAGGCGCAAATTCATTGAACAAAAACAAGGTGCACCGAAGGGGGGGAATCAACACATGGTATTCTGTAGTTACGAGATTAAACCAGCAACAGCAACGCAGCAACAATTCGCACCGCGGAACCTCCCTTCAGCCACGCGCCGAAGGACAGTCAACGACCGCTCGGCCCCCTCGCTTCGACGACGTGCTGGCGTGAGAGGCGCACCGCCGACACGACCAGATGGCCGCGTCCAACAACCCTGAGCCCCAAACACCGTCTTCAACTCTTTGGGGCGCATCCTCTGCCTCCGCCGACCTTCCGCCGCCCTCTGGTCGCCTTCCGTCGGCGGAGGCGGCCTCGGTGTATTTCCGCCGCCCTTCCGCCGCCCTTCCGCCGCCCTTCCGCGGCGGGGAGGAGGTGACAACATGCCTTCGACCCCCTCGAGGGCGAGGACCTCCGTGGAGCGCCCCCCCCCCCTGCGGTTCGCGCAGCTCGCAGTGCGCCGCCCCCCGAGCGGCCTGGCCAGCAGGCGTCCGCCACGAAGCGCACACTCTGCGATTTCTGGGTGGGCGCGTCGCCCTTTTGTGGGGCCCACCCGCTTATAAATATCAAGTCTAATCTTACAGTCAGTAAGTCTAAGAATTGTTTTGCGCACGTCGTATAAGTACAGAGAAGGCCCATGCCAAGTGCTCGCCTCCAGGGTGCACTGGGTTTCTTGGGTTTCGATGGCTTTGCTACAGGGAGCGTGACGTTCCCACACCGCGAACTAATGGACGTCCTGGGGTCTCAGGGTTGGGCTTTCTGTGGAAGGCCTTCTGTCGTCTGGTATCCTCTGTATGTTCGGGCGGTGCCACAAAACCTGCACAGGCTGAAAGGATCCGCGGGGATTTCTCGGATCGGCGCTGGACCCCCCTCCCAGGCGCCGCGGAGCTTGAGAATCGGTGGTGTCCCCGCATCTCCCTCCCTCTGCCGAAGCCGATGCCCTGTCTCCGAGGATGACAAGCTTGCACAAGAGGAAACGTTCGGAGCCCCGAGCAGATGTCCTGGATCGGTGCTGAACCCCCCTCCCTAACTGGCGCGGGGACGCGCCAGGCGCGGCGCCGGAGGCGCCACCATGGGGGGCCCAGTGCCAATCCGAGACGTCCGCGTGGAGCTCCGAAAGTTTATGTCCATGCAGCCTTCTGCAAACGAACTACAAAATTATGTAGCATCAGTATCACTGCCTCCTGCTCTTCTTTCTCATCCTCCTCCTCCTCCCCCTCCTGGTTGTCGTCGATGTCCTTCAGGGTCGGCGGCACCGGCCGTGAAGCCTTCACAATTATGTAGCATCCGGGGTTCTTGTCTGGACAGAAATACAGTATTGCGACATCTGAGGCCCCAGCTGGCATTTGTTTGGTGTGGTTGCCTTCGTGTTTGGGGTCGGCGTTGGGGCAGTTTTGCTGTCTCCTTTCTTTCTCTTTCTCTTTCTATTTTTTTTTTGTTCTCTCTCTCTCTCTCTCTCTATTTTTCTCTCTCTCTCTCTCTTTCTCGCTCTCCCTCGACACGTGGACGCTCTTGAGGGCCTGAGCCTCCCAGGTGCCCCCCCCAAGAAGCCCCTTCAGACGAGCCCCAGGGGGGCCCAAAGGTGGGCCCGGAGAGGGCCCCAACAGGCTCCCCTGGGCATCGTTCCTGCGTAGGGTGGTGGGGGTACTTTTTGGCACGCGGGCGCGCGAAGACGAGTCGAACGCCGAGCAAGCTGGGGCGGGCCGCGCCGCAGCGAAGGAAGAGCAGCAAGGTGAACAACGTCCGCCGCGGAGCGGGGCAGAGCGAGGCGCATTGGTGAGGGTATTTTCGGTCAACAGGCTCGCGAGGCGGGTCGAATGCCGTCTGGACACTAGTCGGGCCGCGACCAGGAAGCAGGAACACAAAAGGCAAGCGAAGCAAGCGAGCGGGCAGCCACTCAGAAGGAGAGCCAAAACCGATACTCCCAAACCCGGTGACGTTGGAAATCCCGGTGTCGACCAGCAAATATGCGCAGCCAAGACGGCGCGGCGGCGCGACCAGAAACACGCAGAGGTCGATCGCTCGATGTGAGTCAGGCAAACAGCACCGACAGACGACATCCGTGAAGTAGGCGACAGAAATGTCAAAACATCGTGTCGGCCCAAGAGTGAAGAGGGGCAACCTAATCACCGACAAGACTGCAAACGGCAGTAAAACCTGCAACGCTTGTGGAAAGCGAAGTCCATGCAGGAAAACGTCGGCCACCGAGCGCACAGAGCCACAATTGCCGAACCCGAGGTCCCGGTACCGTAAGGCAGGCAGTGTAGCGAGAGAACTGGTGGGGGTACGCGAAGCGTTGAGAATTGTTGTATGTGCGTTCGCTTTCTCTCTCTCTCTCTCTTTCTTCTTCTGTCCTCTCTCTCTCCCTTCCTCCCCTCCCTCTCTCGCTCCCTCGGGACCTGGACGCCCATCTTCTCGTCCCCGTGCACCAGGCCGACGGCCGCCACCTCCGCGGGCTCGTTCTGCGGCCGCGGCAGGGGCCCGGCCGAGGCCGCGCCGCCGCGCTCGTCGAGCGCCCCGACGAGGACGACGGGCACGTCGCAGGGCTCGGCGCCGCAGCGGAGCGCGCTCATGTGCTGGGCGAACTCCTTGGGCGGCGCGCACAAGGGGGTGGAGGGAGTGGGGAGGGCTTCTTAGAAGGAGGCTGCTTCTTAGAAGGCGCTGGCCTTACACCTACCGCGCCTTCTAAGAAGCAAGGGTGCTTCTAAGAAGCCCTCCCCCCTCCTGCCACCCCCCTCTGCGCGTGGCTGACTCCTCTCGGGGCCGTCCAGGACGGGGGCGCCTTAAGAGCAGAGGGCAGACAATTCACCCCCCATAACGATCGGCCCGACACGCGAAGCCTTTTAGTAAACGCAGCCCACAGGAGGAATCGCCAAAGAGCAGAGGGCAGACAATTCACCCCCATAACGATCAGCCCGACGCGCGAAGCCGTTTAGGAAACGCAGCCCACAGGAGGAATCCAACAGACAGGGCAGGGCTTTGTAGTAGTTAAACGCCTGGGGCCGTTTCGGAAACGCCACTTGTCTGGTCCGGATGGTTTTTCACACCCCTGCAAGAAGGGGGTCGCAAATCGTGGCCCGAGGCATGTGCGCCGGCGAGGGGGGGGAGCCCAGGAGGCCCATTGAGATGAGAGGCGCCGTGAAAGCTGGCGAAGATCGTGTGCGGTGGCGGCTCGTGTGAGCCTCCCGTACCATCTTGTCCGCACTTGCGGATCGGCGCTGGTCGACTCTAACCCGACGCTGATCGACGCTAAGTCGACGCTAATCGACGCTAGCCCACGCTAAATCGGCGCTACCGCATCGACTGCCAGACGCCAGTCGACGCTAACTGACGCTAAAGACAGAGTTAAGAGAGTCTACGGTTTACCTGGTTCCCATGATTTGCTGCCGAAAATATCACGGCCCCTGCCATGATATCCACCACGACCCTGGTCATTTCCCCCCCCTCTTGGTCGCCCCCGATCCTCGCGCTGAGCGGCCGTGCCATCGCCTGGGGCGAAGCCAAGATCAGGGATCTACGGACCCGGGTGAATCTGGCCCCCAGTCAGTCAGGGCTTGCAGGATCCTGCAAGAATCTTGCAGGATCCTGCAGGATCCTGCACCTAAAACCGGGTTCATGCAACCCTGGCCCTGCAGGATCCTGCACGATCCGGCGCTCCGACTGGCCCCCGTTTGCACTGACCCCTGCCTCCTGAGCCCCGACAAGAGCGGGACAACCCATCGGACCCGGATGCAAAGCCGGGGCCTCTGAGATCTGAGAGGCTCTCTGGGATGCATCGGGCGCCGCGGCTGCTCCGGAGGGTTCCGACAGAAAACGCTCTGAGAGCGCTCTGGGACGCTCCGGGACGACCTGTCACTGTCCTACACCCCCCTGGAAAAGTAGTGCAACTGTTGCAGGTCTTGTCGAATAGTAATCGCCCGGGGACTTCCACGGGAATGATTTTCATCCTGGGTCCGTTTCTGACGGCCCTGGGGCCCGAAAGCGGCACCCGCGGGCCAAGGAAGACGCAAAGCCGAAGGCGACGAACACAACCACAGGTGCATGTCCTTTCCAGGGCAGTGTACAGTCAGAGCGCATAACAGGGATGCGCGGTGAGGAAGCAAGGGCCTCAGAAGGCCATGTTGACGTTGCTCGAACAGGGCAGGGTTGGGTCGAAGGGGCAAGGATGCGCCGAAGGATGCAAGGATGGGCCGAAGGAGCAAGGATGTGAGGGTAGTCGGTCAGGCTTAAACAAAAACACCCTCAACACTTTGGGAGGCGACCTAATTCAGGAGGGGCAGAAACATTAGGGATAGGGGTCTCTTCTGCAGATGCATCAGTGCCAGCAACCGCCCAGAATTACAATCCCTAGATGCACACACGGGGACCTCGGTGAGGCCACGTCTCCACTGTGCGATTCGGGTGAAGGATTATGCTGTCCTCGGTGATTCTGTAATCTTGGGAAGCTGCCCATCCTCACTGTGCGCTCGTGCTGCAGCTGGAGAAACCAAAAGTACCAATACCTCTACTCCACAGACTACCTCTCCCGGGGTGCGTTCTGGCCAGGATTTCAAGGCGAATCCAGCGGTGGCGACGAGGGCCTCTCAGGAGGCCCCAAAAAGGCGAAGACGAGGTAATGCTGGCGGTATGGGTACCTTTTTCCCAGCTGAGCAGCCCCGCTTGGCGGCGCGCACAAAGGGGGTAGGGGAGGGGGGAAGGCTTCTTAGAAGGAGGCTGCTTTTTAGAAGGCGCCGGCCTTCCATGTACAGAGAAGGCCCGCGGCTTCTAAGAAGCAGGGGTGCTTCTGAGAAGCCTTCCCCCCTCCCCCTGCCCCTTGTGGATGTCACGACAATGGACACCCTAACAGTCCTATCATTGAATTAAACATGTGTTTAGAATGTTTGGGCACTGTTTAAACTATGTGTTGTACATGTTTAATACATATTCAAAGCATGTTCTAGACATCTGGAAAATCGTTGGAAAGATCCTTCCTCTCCATTGTAGAGGTCGGAAAAGCCACCCCCAGAATAACCACCCCGACACGCGAAACCGTTTAGTAAACGCACCCCAAGAAGGACTCGAACCGACAGGGCAGGGCTGTTTAGTAAACGCCCAGGGCCGTTTGGTAAACGCCGATTGTCCGGTCCAGGTGGTTTTTCCTCCCTTGACATTGGTCGTCGTCCACAACCTGCCCCCTTCTGCGCGTGGCCGACCCGCCCGGTCGCCCTCGAAGGCCGCGGCGAGGGGGAACAACTGGCGCGCGGAGTAGACCCGGACCCGCTCCGGCGCCAGCCGCTCGAGCGCGCGGTAGTACGTCCAGACCTCCTGCGGGGGGGCCCGCCCGAGCGCGGGGCCGGAGCTGGCAAGGTCGGACGCTCGCGCCGCATCCAGACCCCCTCGAGTCATGGACAAAATCACGACGGGGGCCCTTGCCCTTGCAAGTGGGGGCCCTTCCTTGGCCCCGGGACCTTGAAAACACGATTCAGTATGAGAAGCTGGTGCCGGGGAATGGGTCGAGACACCTCTGGGGGTCGACGTCATGACGTCGGGTGTGTGGGCGTCCAGGTGGCGACACTGGGGCGGACCAGAGCAGCGCTCGCGCACAGCTCTTCCCGAGCCGTTTGCCGTCGGGGTCGGACGCTCGCGCCGCATTCTGGCGGGCGACGATCAACACCGGGTCTAGCGTTATGTCGGGCGTGTCCCCCTACAGGGGGAATGTCGACGGAAAAAAAAATACCCCAAAAATGCCCCCAAAAGGCAAACAAAAATTCAAAAACTAGTCCCCGGACTATTTTCAGACTATTTTTTGACTATTGTTTGGGTATGTTTGATTTTTCATGGAAAATCCCTCTGTAGGGGGACAGGCCCGACGTAAGTCCAGCGCGAGATGACGTAGCCACCCTGCGCGGTGGCTCACGCGGGCCGCCGGCACGGCATGCTGCTTCGGCGACGAGGGCGCCTACGCGCCACCGGACGCGGCAGCTCACGCGCCAATGTCGGCGCAGACGACTCCGTTGCTGGCCATCGTTCGGACGTCCATTCCCTGTGTTTTTTTTGGTATCGTGCGTGGTTTTTTCGCCAAATGATCAAGGATGCTCCTCGATGGTCCTCGCCGAGAGAAAAATGCACACGTCCGAGCGATGCCAAGGTTCTGCGTCGCTCAGGTGGTGACGTTTACGGAGCGCCCGTGTTGAGAGTCTCTGTCTCCCCGCTGGAGCTGACGGGGTCGGACGCTGGCGCCGCATCCAAGTGGCGACGCTGGGGCGGACCTGAACAACGTTCGCGAACAGCTGTGCCCGAGCCGTCTGCGAAGCCGAGCGACCGTGGGCGAGGCCGTTGGGGGCTCTAGAGAAGCTCCACGAACGGACGGCTCTGAAGCGTTGGGGAACAGTTTGTGAATATCCGACCACGACCATGTTTTCGAACCCTTCCGAACACATCATGCAGTCGGCCCGCATAGTAAGGACGCGCGACAGGGATGCAAAAGCCTCGGACGCCCATTGTGAAGCTTTCCGAGCGGGGCGCGGCCAACGAGAGTGGCGAACGATTGACCGAGGAGGCAAGGATGCAAGGGTACCCTTGGGAAGGTTGCCCATCCTTACTATGCGGGTTGACTGCACTGGCGACATCCAGTACCAGTCTGGTACCAGTCCGCGGCGCGCACCTGCTCCTGCACATCCACTTCGGCCCCGCCTGCACCCCGGGCTTCGCCCACTCCGGCCGCCTGAGGCCCCGCCTTCCTGTGCCCTGTCTCCCTATTTAAAGCTGTGCGTAGCCCGCCTAGCTTTTAGCGGAAGACCGACCCACACCAACCATCTAATCTCCTGAATCGATGGGAGGCGGGGATAGGGTTCGGATTTCGCCACACGTTCGACGAATCCCGAACCCTACCCCCGCCCCGCATCGAGTTGCCCGAATCGTTGATCGGAGAGGGTAGCTAGGGTTTGGACTTCGCCGCCCAGCATCGCCGATGAATCGGCGAGGCCTCGGTCCGCGACGTCGGGCTGGAGAGATTGGGGCGGTGCGATGTGGCGCGGTCCTCCGACAGCACATGCTCGAACCCCATTCGGGCGGCCTGGAGACGAGGCTTCTGGAGATCTTTGGGAGACCCCCCACGGTCCCTGGTGGTCCAACCTCCGCAGGACCCCGAAGACTCTGGAGACCTCCAGAAGATCCAGACGTAGGGGAGCAAACAATGGCATACATTTAAACTTTCGGAAGTCCTCACGGACTTCACGGCTCGGCGCTGGGGTCCCCTGGCGGCGCCCCCAGCGCCGCGCTCCGCTCGCCACAGAGGGGCGTTCAGCGCCGACCCGAGACATCCGATCCGTAAGCTTATGCTTATGTCATTGTGCATGGTGGCCTAATTCGCTTTTCGTGCACCCACCAACGCCCTATCGTCAGCGCAGTGACTCTGCCTAGCGGCCGACGCATACAGTTGATGCCATTGCGTGTTCCCCGAAGACGAAGGGCCCGAAAGGCGCCGAACACGTCGGTCGGTCCTCGGCCCCGGGAACTGCCGCCGGGGATCCCGGAGGTGACGAAGACCAAGGTCGACTGCGTCTGCCCCCAGGACGGGTCCAGGGGTGAAGCCTGCCCGCTTCCCATTGGATGGGCTGCCGCAGTTCGAGAAGCACGGAAACAGGAAAAGGGAAATGGGAGGCCTGGAAATGGGCACCAACACCAACACAGGGGGGTGCCTTTACAGGGGGAAGATGATCCTAGATTTCGGTGTTGGTAGTAACATTTCGGTCACCTCGGAAGCCAGAATATGACCACCATCACCGACATCTGGATCTTCTTCCCTCGGTGGAGGCACACCGCCGAAATTGGAGTTGGGGTCCACCTCTAGGCCTGAGAGGAAAGGGTGTCCGAAACACCCTGGCCCTCGAGCTTCGACCTTCCTTCTGGGGTCCTGGTAGTCGAGGTACTCGAGCCTGGCGGCCTTCCGCAGCACCCGCACAGCCTCCGGGGGAGCCAGAGGACCGCGAGGCAGCCGCTCGGCCTTTCCCGCGGCAGGGCTGGCCAGCATCGAACCGGGCAGTCGGGTTGAATCCAAACGCGCCTTGGGTCGAGGTGCACTGGCACGAAGTCGAAATCGGATCGGCCTGGCTGCGCCAAGACACACGGTGGTGCCATGTGGCGGACTCCAAAAACCCTGAAGCCAACAGTGCTGTCATCTCCTGGGGGCGTATTCTGTACTTACGCCGCCTTCCGCCGCCCTTCCGCCGGCTTTGGCCTCGCTGGCGGAGGCGGCCTCGTTTTACTTCCGCCGACCTTACGCCGCCCTTCCGCTGAGGAAGAGATGGCGACACCCTCGATCCTCGAAGGCAAGGCCCATTTGAATCGCCTCATGGAAGCATCTGAGAGATGAGCCCGTTTCTCTCCACACCGATGGCGCCGATGCCTCGCCGACGTCGCCGATGCATCGCCGATGCGGCGCGATCCTCCAACCCCATCTACTCCGACCCCATCGAGGAGGCCTCTAATCGGGCCGCATGGGAGTGTTCGGGTGTTGCTAGAAGTGCCCTGGCCCAAGGTGCCCCTAGCGTTTCGCTCCATTTTGGAGACCCTGGGGCTCTCTGGGCCTCGTGTGGGATTCTCGGGGAGGCCGCCTTGGCCACCCCGAGAATCCTGGGGGTGCCTTGGGCCAGGGGCACTTCTAGCAACACACGAATGGTCTGAAGATCGGCATTGAATCGGACGGAGCTGGATGCAAGCGGTATCGAGCAAGAGATCGGTCGGATCTTGTGACATAGCCGCTGCGAGGCACGAGCTGCCCAGGATGCCGCGGGCGAAGCCAGCCATGGCGGCAAGGCCCGCTCCCCCCCGGAAGGACGGGGAACCTTGAAGTAGGAGCTCGACCACAAGAGAACTTCCACGAGACACCCAAATCCTGAGACCCCAGGACGTCCCTTGATGTTCGGTGTGGGAACGGCACGGTTCCCACAGCAGAGCCACCGGAACGCAAGAAACCCAGGGCACGTTGGAGGCGAGCACGGTGTTTCTAGGCCTGGGCTTCCACTGTAGCGGGGACCGGATCGGGTGGCAGCATCGATCTGGAAGCGGCGATGCATCGCCGATTGATCGGCGATAGGCCCCCGATAGCGAGGCCGCACGCTCCTTGGCGGGGTGGGCTATCAGGCCCCTAGCGGAGATGAATGGGCGATTGGAAATCGATCCGCCCCCCCCTAGGCAAATCTCCCCCTAACGTTGCCCCGTGGTTTTTGGGTCAGAACTCGGAACCGGGACACCCCAGAACGCACTCGGCGAGGAGCAACTGCTGGAGAGCATCCCGAGGCTATAAGAACGCCGGGGGCCGACGAGACACCCGAAACCGAAACCGGCTAGACATGGAGGGACCAACACAGTATCAACATGAGAAAAAAACGCTCGGAGGTCCACGCGTATTTTTCGACTCGGCGCGCGCCAGAACAGCGCCCGAGGCGCCGGCAGGGGGGCCCAGCGCCGAGGCTCGAGATCCGCGCAGATCGCCGGAAGTTCGTATGCTTGCATAGCCGTCCCTGCTTCGACAGACAAGGCACAGCGGCTTAGGCAAGGGGGGGGGTCATGGGGACGCCACCGACTCACGCGCCGCGCCCTCGACCTCGACGGGGTTCTGCGCACTCAGTGGGCGATGCGGGGCGGCACGCCGCGGCGCCTGGCCAGAACGCTTTCGACGTCGCAGCGCGGCGGCGGCCGTCCGCGCGCGCGCTCCGGCGGCCCGGGCAGCGGAGGGCGCAAATCCACGGGCGGCAGGAAGAAGAAAAGACAGGCGGAAGCGGCCGCGGGGCGGGAGTCGCGCAGGGGATCGACTGCAAAGTTGATGTGCCCCAATTCTGCTTTCCCGCCCAGCGTGGGAAACAATACGCAGAATGTCCTCTGAATCTTTTTTGGGGGCTCGGAGGCGAGGATATCTGGAGCCTGGGGTGAAATTTAAGCAGCAGAGCGCGAGAAGAAACAAAGCGGCGCGCCTCAAAAAAGGGCAGCGGGAACCGCTGCGTCGTGAGGCTGCCGCGGGGAGTGTGGTTTCTTATCGGCGCCAATGTGCACAGGCAAGGTCATGCAAATCAACTCACAATCGGTCGGCTACACTCTCGGGCCCCCCGCCGCCACGGCCGGACGGGCGAGCCGAGCTTGGAACCTGTCGGGTCCGCCGAAGGGGCGGAAAGGCCCGGAGCGAACCAGTGCGTAGCTGTCCGGGAGACCAGAGCTCGAGGGCTGGGCGGGCAGCGAACGCCTCGGGCGCCCTCCAGCCCCTCTCCTCGCCGCTGCCGGCAGGGCCGTGCAGAAGTGACCGACTGGGCGGGTCGAGCGAAAAGGCCCGCGCAACGCCATCACGAGACGCCGAAGCGGGTGCCGGGCTGAGCCACCCACGCCCTGGAGCCACTGCTCCACGATTGCCACTGGGCCGCCCCGCCCAGCGGGAGGTCGCCGGGGCCCACCGGGCCGGTGCACAGCAGCCCCTTCGTGAGGCCGCTGGCCGCGAACTCCTGGTCGCCGACCCACCAGCAGCCGTCCGCTCCCAGGTAGACCCAGCGCTCCTGGTTGATCTGGTGCATGAAGCGGGGCGGGCCATCCTCCTCGCCCTCCTCGGCGATGTAGTCGTACAGGCCGTCGTAGCCCAGGTCCTCCGGCGAGCCGGTCAGGGACATCACAGGGTTCGCGGCGGCCTGCTCCCGCGTAGCGCGCCAGGCCGCCGCCACGGCCTGCGAGGTGCAGAAGCGGAGGGCGGGGGCGCGCGACCACTCCTGCGGCCCCCTCTCGAGCCAGGCGACGCAGGGGTCGTCGGGCAGCATGCCCGGCTCCACGGACTGGAGGCTGCGGACGCTGCCCTCCTTGAGCCTGCCGCCCTCCCCCGAGGTGCCGAGCCACCAATGCCCGTCCTCCCCCACGAAGAGCACCGTGCTGTCGTCCTTGCTGCGCCGGTATACCGGGGGGTGGCCGCTCTCGCCCGCCTCCGGGGCGAAGGCCCCGAACAGCTCGGAGCTGCCCCACAGCTCCAACGGGCCCGTCTTGCGGGCCGCCTCCGCCCAGCAGTCGCAGGCGCGCAGCCCGTCCACCCGCTGGATCCGCACTGGTCGTTTCACCCAGGCGTTGTCCACGGAGACGGCGAAGGTCGTCTCGGCTGTGGGGACTTCGCCGGGCTGGATGGGCGCGGAGGTGTGCCCGATGCCGTGGGGGTTCCTGCTGTTCTTGTCGCTGGTGCTGCCGATCCACCATCGCTGGTCCGTGCCGAGGAACATCCACACGTTGCGCAGCCTCTGGTGCTGGAAGACTGGGGGCTCGCCCTTGCTGCTCTGCGCAGGCACGAAGTCGAACAGGCCGTCGGCAAAGTGTTCGCTCACGCCCGTCACCCTGATGACCGGGCCGTTGCCCAGGTCGACCCTGGCCTTCTGCCACTCCAGCCGCACCGTCTCTGTCAGCCAGAACTTCATGGTCTCCCTCGGCACAAAGTCCGCGCCAACCAAGACCTCCCAGCCCGGTCCCGTCATGTGCGGGAGCACGCCGGGCTCGACCGACATGGCGCTGCGGAGGTACTCCCTCTGCTGCTTCTGCTCCCGAGCCTCCTTGGACTCCAGGCTGCCCAGGAGCCAGGAGCCCTTCATCGAAACGTACAGGTACTTGTCGGGGTCCGTCGCGCTCTGGTAGGTCGCTGGCCCCGTGCGCTTCTGCTCGTCCGCGGGAGGCACGTAGCTGTAGGCGCCACTGACGTGCTTGTCCCCGCTGCCCCACGCCTCGATGCGGGGGGCCTTCCTCGCGACGCCGTGGGCGAACTGCCATTTCTGCGCGGCGGTGGACTTCGCGGGCCGCGACTTGAGCTCGTTGGCCACGCCCTGGACAGCGGCCTCCAGCTCCTCGAGCTCCCGCAGCATGTCCCGCTGCGACTGCATCCTGCTGGCGACGGCCCGCTCCAGCGCCGCCGCGGCGGGGGGCGAGCGCTCCGCTCTCTGGCCGCCCGGCGTGACCGTGGCGTCCGACGTGGCCCGGGACGAGCGCGACGGCTCCGCCGCCGCCGCGGAGGCGAACGAGCGCTCCGCGGCAGGGCCGGCGGGCGTGGCCGCGGCGCGGGACCCGCCGTCCGACGTGGCGTGGGAGGCGCGCGGCATCGGGAGCCGCGGGCTCGCGAGCGGGGGCAGCGGCCTCGCGGAGTGCGGAGCTCCTCTTTTGCTCGGGCGGGGAGCGCCTCTCGGTGAGGGCGGGGTGCTTGAGCCAAACAATGGCTATGGAAGGACGTCCTCTGAGTCTGGGAACGTCCCAGTCAAGGGAGGGAGGGAGGACTCGCCAAACACACGCAGCGCGATGGCTGGCCAGCGCGCCGCACTGAAATCCCCCCCGAGCTCCGACGTCGTAGCTCCGACAACACATATTCAAACATAGTCACACACACACACACAAAACACGAAAACACGTCCCCAGACTACTTCCCATCCGTCCTGTGCGTTACGTACCTGTTGTGAAGAAACAACCTCCTCCCCCTCCTTTTCCCCTCCTCCTCCTCCATCATCATCAACGTCATCGCCATCATCACCCTCAGCCTCACCATCAATCACCATCAACATCACCATCATCAACATCATAATCATCATCACCATCATCCGACCATGCCATGTATTTACTGATTTATCCCCCCATCCATGTCGGCACACCCCTCACACGCTTAGTGACCCCATAGGAAGCTCCACCGAAGGCCCCACTGCCACGGCCCGCATGCGCATACTCCGCCCACCGCATGTCCATTTCGGCAGACCCTTCACACGGTTCGTGGCCCCATAGGGAACTGCACCGAAGGGCCCCGGACACAAAAATCCACACGCGCCCACCCCACCCTCCGCATGCCCATGCCCGCACACCCCTCAAACGGTGCGTGGCCCCATAGGAAGCTCCACCGAAGGCCCCAAAGGCAGAGTCCACACGCGCCCACTCACCCCACCGCGTGTCGATGTCGGCACACCCCCCATACGGTTCGTGGCCCAATGGGGGGTTCCACCGACGGCAGCACTGGCAAAGTGTACAAGCGCCCGCTCCGCCCACCGCATGTAAATTTCGGCACACCCCTCACACGGTTCGTGGCCCCATGGGGAGCTGCACCGAAAGCCCCAGAGGCAAATTCCACATGCGCCACCCCCGCCCTCCGCATGTTCATGTCGACACACCCCTCACACGGTCCGTGGCCCCATGGGGAACTGCACCGAACGCCCCCGGGCAAAGTCCACATGCGCACACCCCGCCCGTCGCAGGTCCATTAGGACAAGCCCCTCAAACGGTTCGTGGCGCCATACGGAGCCCCACCGAAGGTCCCAGAAACGAAAGCCTCACGCGCCCACTCCGCCCACCGCATTCCCATCTCGGCTCACCCCTCACACGGTTCGTGGCCCCATAGGGATCTGCACCGAAGGCCTCAGAGGCAAAGTCCACATACGCCCACCCCGCCCACCGCATGTCGATTCCTGCGCACACACCCCACACGGTTCGTGGCTCCATAGGAAGCCCCACCGAAGGCCCCAATGGCAAATTCCACGCGCGCTCACTCTGCCCACCGCGTGTCCATTTCGGCACAACACTCATAGGGAACCGCACCGAAGGCCCCAGTGGCAAAGTCCGCACGCGCCCACTCCGCACATGCATGTCCATGTCGGCGCACCGCCCACACGGTTCGTGGCCCCATTGGGGGCTCCAGTGACGGTCCCAAAGGCAAAGTCCACATTCGCCCCCCCGCCCGCTGCGTGTCCACGAAACGTAGCAGTGGGAGGAGGAGAAGGAGGAGGAGGCGGCGGAGGAGGAGGAGGGGGAGGAGGAGGAGGCGGAAGAGGAGGAGGAGGAAAAGGAGGAGGAGGAGGCGGAAAAGGACGAGCAGAAGGAGGAGGAGGAGGAGGAGGAGGAGGACGGGGAGGAGGTGGTGATGCCACGGAGGTCCACCGAAGGCTTCAGTGGCAGGATCCAAACGCGGACCCCAGGCCATTGAGACAAACCGCTCGCACGTCTCGTGGCCCTATAGAGGGCTCTCCCAAGTAGCTGGATCAGTTTGTAGCGCGCACGAAGCGGTGCGGGAGGGCGACAGCCCTCGCCAAGGAGCTAGGCTTCACCGAAAATATCGGTCAGGCCTGACCTGTGGAGCTGGCCCGCCCGATCAACGCCTTCTCTCGATTGGATTATCCAACCGTTTGGCCTCGCGCCGCGGGCGACCCGCGCGTCGCTAAAATCCGTTCGGGGCGACCAGCGCGCGTCGCGGGAACTCCGTGCTGCGCTCTTCCTAGCGGCTCGCTCGCCCGTCGTCGCTCTGCCCAGCGGCCGGACCCTTACGTGCTATCAGCCAATCAGCTCTCTTTCCTCCGCGCAACGGACGACCCGAGCGCGTCGCTGGGACCCCTTCGGGGCGACTGGCACGCGTCGCGGGGACTCCGCTCTGCGCTGCGCCCGCAACCTTGGAGTTCGAAGTGCGCGGGCAAAGTGGAAGGAAACAAAAAGGAAGGACCATCTTGGACGGTCTAGCTTGCCTCGTGCCCCCCCATCGAACATATCACGGGCAGAGGACACCGCGCCGAGGAAACGCCACCGAAGGCCCCAGTGCCAGCGCCCGCGTGGCGCCGCCATGCCACCCTGGTACACCCCTCACACGTTTCGTGCTCCCTTAGAATCTATACTACCCTGGAGTGTTCCACCGTTAGAGAGAGACATGCCCGACTTCGGCCTGGCCAGAACAAACGCAGCGTGGTGGCCGGCCAGCGCGCCGCACGGAAGGCTCTTCCAGATCTCCGACGTCGTACAGTAGGGGCCCGACCACAAGAAACCCTCCACAAGAAACCTAACCCTGAGACCCCTGGACGTCCCTTAATTGTTGGTGTGTGGACGTCACGCTCTCCATCGCAAGACCATCGGAACCCAAGAAACCCAGGGCACCCTGGAGGCAAGCAGGGTGTTTCTTGGCAGGGGTCGCCACGGCAGTTTTTTTGTCGCAGCGTCCAGCCCTCGGCAGCGTCCAGCCCGCGCAGCGAGAAGGTTTTGTTTAGCGTTGGCGAAAAGCATAAGCTGAATAAGTGAACTGAGGAGTGGAACTTGGAAGCACAACATAACCAGCGCATTGAAAGAGGACGCGCTGTAAGCGAAAAAACAAGCAAGACGCACGAAGCGAAGAGGTTCGGCGGCCTCCTGCCTCTCCTGGGGTGCGTCGGCGTCGGCACGCCTTCCCCGTGCCGGGCCTTCCCTCTCCGCGGAGAACGATCGGCAGCTCTTCGGCGGCCTGGTCGCTACAGGTTGGCCGATTCTGGGCCAGTAGCTGCATTCAGCCTTGACCACCCGCGGCGGGGTCGCCGCCGCGTCGACACGCCGCGAAGCTGAGGCACGTGCACCTCATGCTGGGCGACGGGCGGCGGGACCCCGCGGCGCCTGGCCAGACCGCTCGCGGCGCGGTCTGGGCCAGCGCGCCGCGCGGCGAAGAAGGCGTAGGGGGCGGAGGAGGGGGAGGGGGCGTAGGAGGCGGAGGAGGAGGCGGCGGAGGAGGCGTAAAAGGAGGAGGAGGAGGAGGAGGAGGAGGAGGAGGAGGAGGAGGAGAAAGAGAAAGAGGAGGAGAAAGAGGAGGAGGAGGAGAAGGAGGAGGAGACGAGGAGGAGGAGGAGGAGGACGAAGAGGAGGACGGGGCGGTGGAGGCGGCGGAGGCTGCGCAGGAGGCGGAGGCGGAGGCGGCGCAGGAGGCGCAGGAGGCGAAGGAGGCGGAGGCGGGGGAGGCGTCGGCACCGGTACGTCGGGACGTCGGGCCTCCTCGTCCCCGTCGAGCTCGCCGACGCGCACCGCGCGGCCAGCCGGGGCCGCCAGCACGCCGCGCGAGCTCCGCTCCCGCCGCTGCAGCACGCTGAAGCCGTCGTCCTCCGCCGCGCAGGAGCCGCCGGCCGCGCCGCCGCAGGGCCCCACCTTTGATGGGCCGACTGTTCACCGAGGAGGAGGAGGCGGAGGAGGAGGGGGAAGAGGAGGGAGCGGAGGAGGAGCAGGAAGGGGAGGAGGAGGAGGAGGAGGAGGAGGAGGAGGAGGAGGAGGAGGAGGAGGAGGGAGGAGGAGGAGGAGGAGGAGGAGTGGAGGAGGAGGAGGAGGGGGAGGAGGAGAAAGAGGAGGAGAAGGAGGAGGAGGAGGAGGAGGAGGAAGAGGAGGAGGAGATGGAGGAGGAGGAGGAGGCGGAGGAGGAGGAGGAGGATGAGGACCTCCCGATCCTCCCTTTTCAGACGTCCTACCCATGGTAGTCTCAAACCTTTGGAGGCCTGCGTCGTGGGCACCGACACCCACAAAGAGGGAGCAGTCTCCACTGGCGGGAGCCAGTCTTAGCTTCGGGTGCTGGTGGTTACCCTTCGGCCGCCAGAGCAGCCCGACGAGTACACAGCACATCGTACCACCATCGCCGAGATCGGGATCGTCGCAGCCTCGGTTGCAGGAGGAGCCGCCCGCCGGTGCTGGCGTCGGTGCCACGCTCTGGCCCTCCGACACCTCCCGGGCAGGTGCAGTCCGCCATCGAGGCGGGCCAGTCGGCGCCGAAGCGGAGCCTGCGTCGTCGGACCGGGCTGCCCCTCGGCGCCCTTCGCGCGCGAGGGGGGGGGACGAGCTGGCGTGGCGGGTTGCCGTGCAGCGGCGCCTGCTGGAGCGCCCAGGGGTCCGCCCGGCGAACGAGGCGCGCGGCGGCTCGGAGGCAGCCCGCTGGGTCCCGCGTGCTGCGAGGGGCGCGCTGCTGCTCTGAGCATCGTTGAAACGATCCCTATCCCCACTGGCGTGGCCTGGGCCCCACTGGCCGATCTACCCGCGAGATGGGGATATAGGCGGCTCCCTTCGGGCTTCGAGGGGCATATCCCCGTCTGAGGTGGTGGGATGTTGGGGATCGGGATGGGGATGGGAATGGGGATGGGTATCGGTTAAAAGATACTGATGCTCTGATCCTTCCTCCCCCGCCCGCCTCCCGCTCCCGGTTCCTCTCGAGCCGTGCTCCGCTTTAGCGCCACGGGGTCCCTCTCGGACGGGAAGGATTGCGTCGGCTCCGGCTGCGTCTGCACGGGGTTGAGATCGAGCCCGAATGGGCCGCGCCAGGATGCACCACATTAACTACCGTATAGGCATCTGGCCGCATCGGATCGCTTGGAAATGCGAGCCAGGCGAACTCGACATCGAATCGGATCAATCGGATCGAGATTGGCCCTGCCTCGGTAGGAGCCAGTAAACCCAGACATCAAGCGTTTTGAGCAAACGC